CGACACGATTAGAAAAAACAAAAGAAGAAGTATTAAAATTTGAACGATTACGGCAACCCCAGTTAAGGAAGAATAATTCATCAGAAGTTTTTTTAATTCGGTTCGATTGAGAAAAGTATATAAGAAAAAAAAAAAAAAAAAAAAGAAAAAACAAAGTTTCGAAGAAAGCGTAGAGAAAATTTGTCGAAGTTTAAAAGTAATATTTCAATTTTCTTTTCTATCCTTTTATACTTATAGCGAGATTGAGATCTTTAAGAAATCCTTCGAGTTGCTTTACTTTTTTCTTTTTCCCTCACTATGGACTTGAATTAATTCAAGCTTCTTCAAGTGCCACTAGAAAATGTAAATAACTGTTAAAGGCACTTTTCTTCGGTATTTTAGAAAGACAAGAATATGTATCTCGAAATAGCATCTTGCATAAGCGAGTGAGTTTATTCAGGAGTATTATCTACTCCGTTTAACGAACAAACGATCCTAACTGTATATATACATATGTATATGTATATATATATATATATATATATATATATATATACGCATCGGATTGACGCTTCAATCTGTTTTGGCTTTCATCGCAACATTCACGGAACGTAATCGCCGCTGTTTCGCGTTTAATCAATCGCGTATTCAAGGTGTGGATCCGTGACAAGGAGGGACAGGGATAGGGACAGGGATAGGGACAGGGATAGGGATAGGGATAGGAATAGGGACAGGGATAGGGGTCCGTATTGATATCGATCTGTATCACTTTGTGCGCGCGCACGCATATAGAACAAACCGGAGGGAGATAGAAGATGTATCTATATATCTTTTATTCTCTCATCCGATAAGATATAACGTAGGTTAACTTCGATCGAAACTCGAACAACAAGAGAGTCCTCTTCTTATCGAGGAGAGAGAAGAGTCCCTTTTCGTCTCTCGAGGGAATTCGTGCTAAGCTAAACGAGTGGGCCCCACGTCTGCAATAAAATTTCAAACTTGTACGCTCGGCGAACCATAAAGAAGTATGCCGTCATCGAATTTTCGAAACTTCTTCTTTATCGAGTCGCGTTAAATGTCCTTTGTTCTACGACCTTCTCGAATACTCCCAATTTATTACTCAAACTCATTTTAGATTCATTGATTCGAATTAATTGTACCTTTTTTTTTTTTTTTTGATAGTTTCAATTCAAATTAAATGATAGACTGAATTATCTTTGTTTTTTGCTAAATAAAATGATTTTCATTAACGTTAGTTGCGAATATTTTTGTTTTCCCGTGTGATTATAAGAAAATATATTAATCTTTAAATAAAAATAAATAATGTGTGAATTAAGAATTTTGGAAGATACTAGGTTTATCAATTTAGTAAAGAAAAAAAAACCGATATCTCAATTTAGAGTTTAATTATCGTTTCTAAAAATCTTATCAGTTATCAAAGAGATATTATAGAACACACTCGTGTACGTCACACGTCGGGGGAAAAAAAAATTAAATTCGAGAGGAAAAAAATATAGATGCATCGGTATACAAGTTTAAGGAATATATACGGGACTGCTGCGGTAGTTTGAAATCAACCGACATTATTTTTCAAGTTCTCGACGTATGATATTATCTTTTTCCGACGTTATATTGTTGATGATTTGGATTTTTATTCGTCACCCCGGTAAAATTCAAAGTATTCAAGAGAATAAATATATTTCCAAAATAAAACGCGTTGAGAATTTTACGACGAAATGTTACGAAATAACGTCGTCGCACGGTTGCATTTTTCTACGTGACATTTTGCACAGCTTCTTCGCATATTTACGTAAATACATTACCTCCACATTTTTCTTAGTGTATATGTATGTATGCGCGATGACGTTATGTGACACATAAGTTCGCGCTTTCTTTACTTTTCTCTCTCTCTCTCTTTATTTTTTTCTCTTACCGTTCTCGCTGCACACGAGTATGCATATCGTACAGTTTTCCTCGGTGAGATCTTAAGTAATTAATCTTGGTCGCGACGTTAGACCCTTCAATGCGTCTCATTGACAAAGCAAAACCTTCGTTGCCTGTCCTTAAGAATAAAAAGTTAAGAAAAAAAAAAAAACCGTAACACAAAAAGTAGAGAAATGAAAGAAGCGAACTAACTATGATGGAGTTATTTTGAACACTTTATACAGGCTGATTCATGAAAAAAAAAGTCAAATGTGTAACTTCTCATGCAGTCTATGAATGAACGTTTTATATACAGTGTCCATTTTGAACATTTGTAACAAGAAGTTTAATGGTCAGATCACAGTCGGACAATAATAAATTATTAATAATAACATATTAGTTTTATTTAATAAATTAAACGACGGAAACATCTACGATTAATTTCAATTTTTTTACTTTTTTTTTTTTATGTTCACGACCTTGAATATAGATGACCATTGAATTTGTCATGTGAAAAGGGCTACAATTGTAGGTGTTCAGAAATGCATAGTTCCGTTTAAAAAAAAAATGACCTTTAAATTTTCTAAGCGTTTCCGTTCGGGTAAAAAATGATACTCATTGTATAAACAACTTTTACTTCAATTCATTCTTTATCGTTATACTAAAATTGTAGAAGTTATTCGGGTAACCGGTGTTAGCTGACTCATCCTGTATATATTACAATGCAATATTATATATATAGTTCTTATTATCGAAGAAGTTGCCTACACCCACAGTTTATTCCGTTATAGATGAACATATCTAATGTTCTCGACGTTAAAATCAATGTTACCGAACATTCTCAAAGTTTCGTTGTCATCACTTTCTATCGTAAGAAAATGTTGCACTAGTTTATGAATTACATACGTAAAATGCAAGTTAGTTGTGACGTGTTCATATAAATTTTGATATTTAACGTGACTTCAAAAATCATGCTTCAAAATATTAATTAGGTTTTTCGTGAATCACCCTGTGTACATTTTCGGTTAATTTGAAGAACACGTAAAAATTTTCGAATGAAAATGTAAAGATATACAATTTTTATGTAATTACATACAATATATATTTATATATATACATATATATTTTGTCTATTAAAAATAATGACTAATCGTCAGTTTCCAAATGAATCAGCACGTACATATTACATATATACGTCGTGTAGAGTCCCTACCTAATGAACTTTTCAACGAGGAAACTTTATACGTATAAATGGCGGCGTCTTTAACTTACGAGTGGATACCGGATTGAGTAATTTATAATCCGAACTGTGCGAGAACGCTCACACACACATATATATATATACACACACACACACATAGAAACTTTAATTGGATCCCGTAAGAATCTTTTACCGAAGGAAAATATATATTCCGAGATATTTTGCCGACTTGTAACATATCGTTAAAATGACCTTACGTGGCATCATCGATGCGTGTAAATGCTGCTGCAAACATCCTACCGTGACTAGATCTAGCCATTCGTTATGATATTTCACATAATTTATCGTGGTACACGTTATGTTATTAATTATATATTATAAACATTAGATTATTCGAGTGTTTTCAGCAAATAGATAACTCCCATGTATAAACACTTCAAAGGAAGGAATTAAATGATTGGCCTGAATTTATTCGGCTGATTAAAACAACGTTTGGCAATTATTCTATGCTCATTCAGTCAATTGGATGAATCCAATTTCCGAAGAAGAAACGGAACTAATATTCGTCCGAGGGAAATGATTTTCGCTTAATTGTTTTTACCGTAAGATATTTGACCCGACGGGGGTTAGTTCAGTCTCGTCAAATATAGTAGAATCAAAGCTATCTCTAAAATTTGATCGACCTTTACTTGCTCGATATCGATAGGAAAAGCTTTGCACATCTAGTCGAGGATTGTATTTAGTACTCGTGCACATACTCGTTGAGTTAAGAGAGGGTTCTCTCTATTTATCGTAATACATATTCGAAGCCCGAATTTCTAAGAAATCACCTTGCGTACATTCGATGCTAAACTTTTTTTAGTTGTGTTATTATGCTGGCCCGTAATCGATGCTCGATCATCATCGTCATCATCATCATGATCATCATCATCATCATCCTGCGTGTGTACTCTCGTAGAGAGGCGCTTGTGCTTTCGATCCAACAAAAAAAAAAGAAAAAAACACGACGACGCTGCAAATCCGAGCATTCGAATTTTCTAGGAGTTTGGATTTTTTATTTTTTATTATCTATTTTTTAAATACTAAAATGATGTATTATTATTCTATCCGATGAAACCTCTCGTAACGAGTATTATTACGATCGCATATATCATCTACGTATACGTACATAAAAAAAGAAAGAAAAGAAAAGAAAAAAAAAAAAGAAAAAGTAGAAATGAAGGAATCGATCGATGAGTGTGATGCGATGTGATGAAAGATGTTAAGATGCCGATTGCCGATTAAAAAGTCATGGTAGTATTGTGTTGCTGTTATTGTCGTTGCTAATGCTCTTGCTATTGTTCTCTTGTCGCTGTTTCTCTCTAAACGTTTGAACGTTGGTTGCGTCGATATATCGCTGTTGTTTTAGCTGGCGCTCCCGTTGTGTTGTAACATTATTATTGTATCATTGTTAATATTGATTGTATTGTAGTATTTATCTCTTAAACATCGTGTTTTAATAACATCATTGTGATCTGTTTCTTATGGGATATAATATATTCGATCTCTTATCGTTATAATACGTTTACATCGGGCATAGTGAATAAAATAATTTTTTCATTTTCTTCAATATTCTAGTTTTATTTTAGCTGATTACGAAAGCATTTATATAGATCAAAATTATTTCACTTATCGATGTAAAAAGTAAAAAAGAAAAAAGAGATTCAGTAAAAATCGATGAACATTAGACGGAAATATTATTTAACAATTTATATCAAGCAAAAAAAAAAGATCACGTTGAAGTCTGAGGCGTTGTGAAAGTATAATACCGTAGAGTTTGTCGTGCATGACGCTTGTAGACAGATTAAACGAATTACACATTCTGTATGTAATCGTCAGTTTATTTTTGGGATCGCTGGCCGGATAGACAAATTTGACGGTTCCTTTCAACGGTCACGGAGCTCAAGCATGTCCTCGCTTGAGAACATCACCACGGAAACCATTAGCTGCCTTACGTTCGCTGATTCCTATACGAAGAAAAGCGGTAAGTCGAGTTTATTTGTTGGATTCATTAATTATTTAATACATTTTATAACTATTATCTTTCTTTTTGTGTATGTATGTATGTGTATGTGCACGTGTACATCGATTTTACTCTTATAATAATAATAATAATGTATTGTAATATACGCGTGTATCAAATTCTTTTAAGATACCACCACTTTACCCACTTTATGGGTTGGTACGTCTCTGGGATCCATACAAACCGTTGTATTCAATGCACCTGCCCCAGGCGAAAGACACGCATATCCTGTGGTTGTTTCTACATGTAGTAAGATTTACATAATTTTAGAGTATATAATGTGTTCACGTAAATTATCAAATTATAAAATACCACACGGATTCTCTAATTCTATATTTTATTGCGAGCAGATGGATCGACGTTTAAGTTGAAGGGTTGCATCCTATCGATGTCATTTCTGGATTGCAATGGCGCACTTATCCCGTATTCTTTCGAATCCTGGAAAGATGAAAATGTCGATGGAGGAAAAGAACGTAATAGTAAGATTAATATTTGTATATATTATATTATCTGTAACGATCAATACGTATTCTTATAAGTATTTTTCTTTTATCTTATATGATATCCCGTTGCGTATTTTTTCGCATAATTAATCGTTCATTCTTGTATAAAACTCACATTTTATATAGAGAGTTTTTCCTAATAAGTGAAAAGTATTGCAATGGTGGATTCAGGACACCAAAAAAGAAAAGAAGAAAAAAGTTCGTATAAACATGTCTCCAATGTGGCCTCGTTTCCAAGTTACAGCTTGTTCTATTTTCTTACGAAGTTAAAGTAGCATACTTGGATATTGGCTTGCTGTTTATCTACAAGATTTAAAGAACTTAAGATACTGTTAATCTATACTTGTTTGTAAGTGGTATGCACTTTCAGAAAAGGTAAGGTATTCGTATAGTATGTTAGTGCTATTAATGTGATATTACATTGAGTAAAAATAATTTAAATATAACATTGAGCGTTGTTATGACAACGCGTTCGTCAGCAATACTTTTGAAAAACATTGTTTAACAATTTAAACACAAATTATAACTTGGGAATGAGATCGTATCGAACTTATTCTGATGTTTATATAAAAAATCTATCATTGAAATATTTCTTATTTATTAGAAAACACTCTGCGCGTGGTATATAATGCCACTGACATTATAAAATATTGCATAATCCTTTTAATATCATTGTCCAATATGAATAACTGTAAAAAATACCGACCCCGTTTATTGACGAAGCACGTTGCATTCGTCATGTTAACGTTAGTTCGGAATGAATCGAATCCTGTTTATGACATGAAATAGAATAACGGATAACTGTATTTGATGCTTGTTAAAGAGAACCAAGGAAAATGCAATAGCCGATTATCACCGTCCTTGAACACTCAAGTTACGACCGGGGACGGTTTCGAAGATCGACAATTTGTCGTTTTGACGTCTGAGAAGCAAGCTAGGGTCGTGGCTTTACCCTCACAAGATTGCGTTTATAGGCAACAATTGGCGGAAACTCATATTGTAATCAAGGCGGAGGTTACCACTTTGAAAGGTAACAAGAACTTTTCATTTCAATAATTGAAAACCTAATTCTATGATGTCCTATTCTAGATTTAACCACCATCATTGTTGAATAATTAACAGATAACACAGTTGATTTTATAACATAACAAACAACATCCTATTTGCAAATAATAGTACATTTTGACGAATAATTTATTAACTATTATTTGGAACAGGGTTTTCACGAAAAGACGCGACTCTTTAAAATTTATAAGTAAAACGTTTTTTTTTTAAAAAAGCATACCAAAACCATGTAATTGGATATATCTAAATCAACAGTTTTCATTTAAAAATGTTGCGTCAGGGTTGCGTAGACTTTGTTGATAAAATTGAAATACAATAGATTGAATTTTTCAGATAACGTCTGTCTGGTATGTTACGTTTCAAACGGTCACATATCTACGTATAGTCTACCCAGTCTCAGGCCGCTAATAGACGTCGATTTTTTACCACTTACAGATCTGAGGTAAGCTAAATGTTTAATTATATTAATTTTTTTTTTCGGATTGCCTATATTAATAGTATTCTTGATTGTAGCAGTGCTACAAGAATTTATCGATTTTCTTCAAATAACTGATAACGCGCTTCTACGTTTAAAAACTTTTATTGTAATAATAATTATTTATACAAATTTATATTTGAGCTATTAATGCTATTTACTAATCAAACTAGTTATATTAACCTACTACTACTAGCAATTGTTTCCCTTTCAAATGGATGTTAATCGCAAAATTACTAATACTCATCAAAAGATAATTCGTCGTTTAAGCAAAGGTCATAAATATATTTGACAGCATATAAAACGCGATTTACTTATGCACATGTACATATTTGTGTGATATATTATATAATATAATACAATATGATAATTAAAACGTATGAAAGCTTCATAGTAGCGATTTCATTGCGAAGATTTATCGTAAGATCGGCACGATATTAATAATATTTTTATATATATGCTTCTTTTTACAATTTTTCTAGCAAATTATTCTGATACTCTCAGATACAGTAATTTTATTACATTTAAATTCTTTCTATATTAAGTGTCTCGCAATTGTAAAATTCTTCAAAATATTTAGCTTCAAGCTGCACCAAAATTGCTTCAATTTTTATATTATAAATTTTTAATATTTGTAATATACATTGAATTTTATTGGTGCATGTAATCGAATAATACATTATTCAAATATGGCTTGGCTCTTGTCGAATAGTGCGGACGAAACGTATTCTAATGCTATTTGAATTTATAAAATATAAACATATAAAGCTTTATGCTAAGTATAAATAGCAATGCAAAATCTTTCGATATATATATATATATATATATATGATTTATTATGAACGAATAAGAATTTTTAATCTTCTGTGATACAATATATTTTGATTATTATCGTTAATGTTATTCGTAGAATGTACAAATCTAATTAAACAATTTCGAATTCTAGAAAAGTAGTAGCTAACTATATGGCATGCGACTTTTCTCGTCTACGATACTAATCAAAGCACTCCGTTGATCCTCGACACAATCACGGCATGAACTTTTTTCTACGAGCACTTCTTCTATCGCACAGTTTATATCTTCGTACAATCACATCTTATATAAAAATTCAAAGATTCTTTCATTTTTAGGTCGATAACACATCAATATATATGTATGTAAATAATATATACATATTGTGTGTGTAGTTACAGATTAATAATATTTTATTGATTATTATGATATCGTTGGAGAATGTAGAAATCGCGCAGCAAAAGGAACATGCAAGCAAGATTTTTTGTTCACATACCTTATTATATTCTGTCGCGTTCGAAGATCTAGACAGGCAGCTTTATAAATATTCTATCAGACGATTATAATTAATAATTATTTTAACGTCCGTTACGGTCGGCTGCTTATCTTCCTCCTGTCTCTGTAATCTCTAACAGTTTTCAGACTACAAAACACGGCATTGTAGACCCCATGTTGTCCATATGGGGTCATCAACTGTTTGTTAATGGCGATACCGATCAGTAAGTCATTTATGAAATAACAAATCTCCCAATAATCTATGTTACATGATACATAGTGAAATATATCCTGCCTTATCCGCGTCACACTTATTTCTTTTTCCCGTTAATTTATTTTTTTGTTTAAACAATAAATGTTATGGATCATTAAGCACATGTCAGCAACGTACATATTTTTGTTTGTTTACATCCTTCCTTCTAACATCTTTTTTGAGCAATTAATCTATTCACCTAGCGAAGCTTGATGCTATGTATGCGTACGCACATTATATAAAAACACATTTTATTATTCGGCCCTGTTATCATTTATTTTCTATGTATGAAACAAATGTTAATGAGTAAAATTTGTACGTTGCGTTAAAATTCGTACGAATGTCTTCTTTTCCAGGATTGCGAAGACTCTTTGCTTCAGTAATCGTGGCCACGGTCTGTATCTATCATCACCTGCGGAAATACAGAAGTTTTCAATATCAAGCGAGTTCTGGTAGGAGAACGAATAAAATTACTTTCATTCATTTATAAATAGAGTAACAGTTCATTTTTCCCATAACAAGTTTTTTTCTTATTATAAATAATAATAATAATAATAATCTACTACGTACATTATTGCATTATTTGAAATTACGAAGCTTGTCATTTTTTAGCGGAGAGTTGACCGAAATGATGGGAGATTTGTTTACTGGTCACGATATGCCGGAACCACCTAAAGAAAGTTTCTTTAGGGGCTTGTTCGGTGGTGGTACGAGAAGTCTCGATAGAGAAGAGTTGTGTGAGTATTCTTTATTCAGAGAGTATTTCCTATTCCGAAATATTATCTATCTTTATTTTTCTTCTATGCTTATACGTATATATTTTATATAAATAACAAATAATGCGCTTTAACCAGCAAAGACGTGATACGTTTCAGTTGGTGAATCGAGTGGTCGTGCCTCTCGTACAGTGGCTAAACACATCCCAGGACCGAATGCAGCAACGGAGAATATGAGAGAACGGGTTACCGGAATTGCTGGTGAAGTTGCTCAGGCACATCATATGGTAGTGGAGCGTGGAGAAAAATTATCCCAACTCGAGGAACGAACGGCTCGTATGATGTCAGAGGCTGAAAACTTTTCAACGTCGGCACACGGTCTGATGCTGAAGTACAAGGATAAGAAATGGTACCAGCTATGAGAGTATAGTCTGATACGAATCTGGATGCGATTCATATGGACGAGTACGGAAATAACATGCAAGTTAGCGTTTGCGATTTATCCATGAGTTATTATCTCTTTGATAAGAAAGCTAAATTAAATATATTACAAGCTCCGCGTGTATGCTCTACGGCAAGAAAGAAGCATGTATGCGGGGCCAAAAAGTGAGTAGAGTGAAAGTATTCAAGGGAGAGAGAGAGAGAGAGAGAGAGAGAGAGAGAGAGAAAGAAAGAAAGAAAGAAAGAAAGAAAAGAAGGAGAATGAGGTTGAATAGATAAAAATAAATATGAAAGAGAGAAGTTGAATGTGCGAATGAATAGAATATAGGGTCGAGATGATAGGAAAAAAGAAAGAAATACACAAACATATATACACCACACATATTACACGTACACACATTCATGATCATCTGTGCTGGTCACAGGTTCTAGGTACGCACACATTAGCGAAACGAAATAGAGCGAATGGTAGGTAGAGTAAAGCGATTACACATACCGAGGTCACTTCCCAACATCAACGACATTGATCATATTCTTTATCCAAAAAAAAAAAAACATTAAGAGACGTGAAAGAGGCGGTTCTATAAGAGCTTATAGTACGATCGCTTAAAAAATCATAAAGAGGCAATGCGATACGAGACGAGACGACGATCGTGCTATACAGGAGTCAATACGAGCAATTATGAAATAATTCGCCTTTTAATCAATGGTACTCGTTAATTCATTCGGACGTCCTGCACCAACCTATATCTCATTGCACTATGGTCTTCTGTATTGTCTATAAAATGAGAAGAAAAAAGATACCACGAGAACAAGTGGGTTCGAGAGAGAAACGATAATAAAACATCGTTATACTTATAATCTCGTTTTACATAAAAAAGAAGATAGGAGTGTTTAATCTCGAATAGCGGAAAGTATTAAAGACATAGTAGTAAAAATTTCAGGTGCAGCGACGTTATCCTCCGAATGTATTGACAATAAAAATGTAGTTAATTAGTCGAACGTGCAGAGCATTGGGTAAAAACGCGTCGAACGATGAAGTATATATTTTATCCACGCAGTCGGGTTTAGCAGGAGAAAACGGGGCACTGCGAGACCGCGTTAACGCCGATAAGAATGTATAATTGTTATCGATTGTAGTTACTGCTAGACACGCTAATGTATATATATACAATGGAATGAGACAAAAATTAAGAATACACATACACATATACAACACACAACATACACACACACACACACAAAAGTAGGAAAGATTCTGCGTTATAAAAGCTGTTTATATATATATATACATATATATAAACATATATATATATACGATATAATGTGTTATAAGTTACGCTACTTCAGCGTCGTTGGTGAATTCAAATGAATTTGTAGTGCATAAATGGCACGGAAAAGGGGGAATACTATTATAATTTTAACTGTACGTATAGACTAGATAACATAAAGACAATATGATAGACACACGTGCGTCCCGGATGCGTGCGCGTGCGCGCGCGCGCTTGTGCGGCTGCAAGAAATTCAATTGAATTTATCGAGATTCTGAATCAACGTACTGCTTCCATAGCAATAATTGTATAGTCGATGTTAAAGGTACTAATCACTTGCATTATTACTTATAAATGCATCCTACAGACGATTTACTAGAATGCATTCTTCGAGTTGTTTAAACTTCGTGGTATGATCTTTCTTGGACAATATACATATAACCAAATCGCATTGAATTAATCCCGTTATTGTATCGTGGGATGTCTTCATTATCAATTATTAGTACAAAACTCGCGAACTTGGCGAGTCGTTGGAGACTTAATAGGCGGCATTTACGAGAAAAAATATAATAATGGAAACATGTTATTCGACGATCGAGCGGCTAATAAGAAACTTTCGGTTGTTTGATAGGTACACTACATTTATGCTATCCTACATCTAGAGGAGTCATTGCTCTTTGGAAATCGGAGATTCTGCATGTGAGCGATTTAATGATAATAATATATTAACAAACAAACAAAATATAACAAATTCATAAGTGGAAGTCTGTTTGAACGCCCGCGCTATGGGAATGAACGTTTCGGATAGGCAAAAGAAAGTGTTTTTTTTCCGGACTTCTGTGAAAGTGGAAGGTCGTTTACTGCTCTAATAGTGGAACGGTAGTTAAATGTGCCATAGTTATGAAGGAATGGAAATATATATTACCATTTAAGTGTTTGATAATATAATATACTCCACAACTTCCGTTGTACACTGCTAAATATCATACTTTACAGATTTCGACTACTTATCTTACAATTAGTCGCATCGAAACCTGCAAAGATGTGTTTGAAACTAATCATTTCTCGCGATATATAAAACGTAGTTTCAGTTATACTTATATGTAGCTAACTCTTCTCTACTTTTATTTTGGTTCTTTGAATCATTTTCATACACGGTGCTTGTAATCTTCGATTGGTAATTATTTAGTGGAAACAGAAAGCTGAAGAAACTGTCTGTTGTATATCTTCATATCACGATAAAACTATTGTCACGTACTTGATTGAATAAACATTAATTTTGCCTATTCCTTGTGCGTGCCGTTACAATATATATTAAGTTATTATACTTGAAATTATATTATAATTCAGTATAGTATTATGTATCTGAACTGGTGAGACAACTGGACAAGGGGTAATTCTACGCGTAAAAATAAGACGAAGAAAGTATAACATTATGTCGTTTAAGGCTCTATTTTTCAGCATGCTGTATAGAATTTTCAAATATAATTTTCTCGAAAACGGTACCTTAAATGAAACAATGTTACTCCTTTTTTTATATTTATTTTTACATGTACAATCATCCCCTGTTCAGATCCAACCTGTATACGCAAATACCAAAATACAAAGTAGTTCGAAGAACAACCGCTGTGGCGCATGTGTCGTGCAAATTCAAACGCGCGCCAAATATGGTGGCCCGATGTAAGAAAATTGTGCGTGCTGTTACGATACAATTAATTCTTTTCTTTTTATAATAATCTATACGAGTGGTTTTGTTTTATCTTTACGCGATATTCAGTTATAAATTTATTGTTCATTTACAACATTACAATTAATTACCTATAACATTTTTCATTTTTTTTTTGTAATCCAGATTTGACGATCGTTGGTAACAGATCATAAGTTATCAATTTATTTTTCACAATATGTCGAATTCAGTGATAATTATTGTGTATTCTATTACCATTCATGAAAATGAGGAAGTTCAAAATTAACAGGAGCGACGATGACAACTATTTAAAAGCAGGTAACTGTTATTTTTTAGTTAATAATATATATATGTATATTTATTGTTTTCCTTACATCTGAAAAATCTTAATTTCAAATTTAATGGAGTAAACTGATATAAGAAAGATGCAAAAGTTTTATTAAGAAATATATTTTCTTCATTGCTACAACAAGATAGCTTCTATATAATCGAAATTATTATCTAAGTAGTCACTAAGCTGATAGAATGATCAAAAGAAGATGTACATTAATTGAAGTTTAAAAGATTGCATATATATATTAATACTAAAACTACTGACTATTAGTGTATACGTATTTCTAACAGATTTTTCAAAATAAGTGCTTATCGATAGAATATGTTAGGAAAGAAAGATAAATCTTTATTCATATTTTTTTCTTTTTTAAAAATTTTTATCTAATGTTAATCCAAAATAAAGAAATACTGATAAAATAAAATAATACGTATTTATATTCAACAAAATATTAGGAACATTGAATAATGAAGATTCGCTTGATCTCAACTAATTAATTTGAATTGGTTTTAATTAGTTCTAACGTTATATCTGAATTAAAAAAAATTGAATTTTCAATTATTTTACATTACATTTGTTCGCAAAGGGAATTTTGATAAAACGAGATTGTTTTAAATTTGACGAAACTCTAAGGGGTAGCAATTACAAGAAACAATAAGATGGATCCTTTGTATTTTACGTCATTTTTCTAACAATAGCTGTTATCGACAAACAAGTCGGTACGTAATTAACTTAACTTCTTTGACACTAGTTCTCACGTAAGAATAGGCGTGTTTACGGTGAATGATGTACACCACTCGTTTCCTCTTTTTACCGAAAGCTTTCTTCTTCTTCGTCCCTTTTTTCCTTCTTCTCCCTTTCTCTTTCTCTCTCCCTCTCTCTCTTTCTCTTTTTCCGCAGCACGCACGTACACTTCTCATTTCCAATTTAAAAATAATGAGAATTTACGACTAGCAGGTACCGCTGTCGCGCACAGACACCCATCGACTTCGAAACCTCTCTCAGCACCGCGAAGTGGAATGAATTGAAAAAAAATTCAATTTAGAGGCAGCACAATAGCAAGCCCTCTACTTTTTCCTTCTACTTCTCCTTCTTCTTCTTCTTCTTCTTCTTCTTCTTCTTCTTTTACTCTATCGTAGTCTGAGAAAACGAACGAATCAATGATATTTCACTTACACGGTATTTCGATGAGAAAATCAACATTTCCGTATCAAAAATATATATAGGTGAACAAACTATGGCACCTTAAGTTACTCTGACGACAATTTTCATTGTGATTTTATTTCCCTCAACTTTAACATTAATAATTGATAATAAAGTATTATAGTAAGTATTGATATTAGAATATTTAATATAATATTTATTCAGCTTCAAAGACACCAATGGGATTTGGTTTAACGAGTATTAAGGATACAAAAATGTAGAAAAATACGTCTTACATATGTTATACTTTTAATCGAAGAAGTTTGAATATACAAATGTTGAATTCGATCATCGCTCGATTATATCTCGTTTATATGCAATTAGTATGTCTATAGAGACTTTCGTAACAAAGATCGAATCAAAAGTCTTCGAAGTTTGTAAAATGCTTCGGGGAGTGCAATAGGAATGGGGAAAAAAATAAATAGAAAGTATGCGAACGTTGTTGGTTGTATAGCGTGTTGTGACACGGCGTTTAAACTTCGTCGCCACAAGTATATACATAAGTTTCTAATAAAGAGTACTATATAACGTTGGTCGAGAGAGAGAGAATGGTATGCACGTGTATGCACGTGTATGCGCGATAACGTACGCGTAATGACAGAGGGGAACGGTACGCGACACGATAATAGGAAGGATGTGTATAATTTAAACATTTCTTATGAGTCCTCAAATAGTTACGCACGTACAAGCGTGTCGTATCTTTTCCATCGAAATTATAGGATTGCTTGCTTCTCTTTCTCTCTTTCTGCATCTGCTTAAGATAATATATTTTCACGGTAATAATATAAAACGAGTGTTGGCACGTTGCGAAATTTTATTTTATACAGTATAATGCAGTACCTTGTTGCAATAAACTCCGAAGATAGATTACTTCGCTAAACTGGTGGTTACTTTTTTGACAAGGAAACTCTCGCGTTTTGTTCTCCGGTACTTGGGTTTTGGGTGATTAAAAACCCTGCAAAGATCTTAAGCGAACATTTATTATAATTACGAAATGAATTCGTTTCATCTAAATATATCTAGGTGTACATTTGTTCTCTTGATGATCAAAAAAATGAAAATCCATATTGAATTATACTATCCTCGAGTAATGCCATCTTCTTTTTCATTACACTTATCGTTTCTTTCTTTACCAAAAGAGATCAATAAAAAGTTTCACGTTAGAAAAGAAATGAAACGATACTTTTCATTTCTAATGAACAATGGTCATGAAATCGGGTCTTGTTCCTGTCGAACGAAGTAGGGTACTTAAACAAGGAGATGAAAGGAAGAGAAACTCGTCAGAAGGTAGAAAAGGGATATGAGGGCTGTAGGGTGGGGGGGGGGGGGGGTTGAAGAAAGCAGTCTGTCTTGACCGAGTGCAATAAAATGTAAATGCTTGGCAATTCGCGCCCCGATACTGTGAGTTACATTTCCTCGAGGCGTATTTCGGATCTCTCTCTCTCTCTCTCTCTCTCTCTTTCTCTCTCACTTGTTCTTTCCTCGTTCCATTTGGAATCCATATAACTCGAAGGTAAACGGCGAGAGTGTCCGAAGGATAGTAGAAGGTACGTAGTAATGTCTCGACCGCGGGCTACGCGCACAGTGCTCTGCGCCTCGTCATTTGCATGAGTAACGGTGGAACCTAGAGGTTAGAATACCAACCCAACAGTAATTTATAGTCGATAATTCTTGCCGAAGCAATTTTCGCATCCAGTGCGAACCATCGGTTGGTTTCCCCCCCTCTCTCTTTCTCTTTCTCTTATGGGGTGGGGGGGAGCCACGTCAAGAGAGCGTTTGCAGGAAATGAGACGGAATGTTAAATAGCATTTCTATCTCTTTTTCTTTTTTTTCTTTTTCTTTTATATTACATATTTTTCGTTGAAGCGCCATTTCAAAATGGTTCATTGTATTTGTGACATTTAACACAGAAATCTTTCTTTTTTTATTTCATTTGATTTTTTTATTTTACGGACGAGATATATTTCGGTACGTAGATCTCGTTTAAATCTGATTTAAAAATATCTCTCTCTTTATTCGAACTCTTCTGTTTTATTTTTATCGCATGAAAAAAAAAAAGAAATGGGTAAAATGTATCGAGCAACATGAAATAAATCATGACGCGATAAGGCTATCAGATAAAATGTACTAAAGCAGGTCTTTAATGCATAGGGTGGTACGTTATAACGCGGAAACCTGCTATGAAGAGTATCGATCGGATCGTAAAACACTAATGTCCGTCCATCGTGCTGATGCGAAGGTAAAAGAGACCAATGCTATTTGAATCTATGTGAAAAATGTTCTACTTTTTCAATTGTAGGTGATATTCATTCTGATAGATACAGAGAGAGAGAGAGAGAAAGAGAAAGAGAAAGAGATCAAACGAAATATCCATTCACATTAAATATCGTAATAATTTTTTCAAATTACAATAACAATCTCATTTTATAAAATGATGGATAGAAGTTATTAATCCGTCTTCCATTACAAGATTAATACCATTTGATTGAAATTCAACGCGTATAATATTTATATTTTCTTTTAAAATAATCCATTTTTTGTCCCTTATTTTATGTGAATACTTATGAATAAAGTATCGTGTAAGAAGGACCCTGTTATCGTTGGATATATAGAAAAGATGCGGAAAGAATTGATGGGGTATCTCATAGGAGGGATATTATACGTGTTTCTATTCACGCATATTTTGATATGTGTGAAATGCGTTCTGTTTACGCGGAAGTTTTATTTACGTGGAGGATAGCAAAATGAGGAAAGAAGGTTGAGCAGGAGAAGGAGGAGGAGGAGTGTGTGGAGGATTATCCGAGTAACATAAACCGATACAGACGACGTAAAGGTACACGACCGATATTAGATATCGAGATGGTACATACTAAGGCTTTTTAACCTCCGTTTGCCATCCAGTGTCGTCCCACCGAGAGCTATCGAACCGATAGGATACCACCTTCCTCACCATCCCCAGACGCCTTTCCTTTTCCACCTCCTGATTCTTCTCCTTCTTGGGTTCCTCCTATCGCACGATTACCATATATACACCACTTTATTTAGAGTACCTTTTATCGCGGTTTGGCTTACGTCCTCGACTCCCACATTTTCACATTTTCGCCTCTTTTTTTCTTTTTCTTTTCTTCTTTCCCTCTCTCTCTCTCTCGATCCATACCGTGGTGGTTTCTATGACGCCTTTGCCAACGGGACGACAATGCTCGTTCGGATCAAATTTTTACTATCTCTTGCTGCTTGCTTGACTCGAGACCGCACTTCCCTTGCGTACTTTTACGTCAATACTTACTAGTTTATTTTTTCAAATTTCGTTGAGGTTAGTATCTTCTTACATGCGCGCGATGTTGGATACTTTATTTTTCTATAGAGCATTTATTTTCTATTATATGTATCATGGTAATAATATGAGAAATATATGATTTGTTAAATATTAATAAATATTATTTTTTTTAAGTATACACAGAGGAGAGTAGATATTTTATCGCATCATTAAATAAACTTGAACTTTCTAATCTTCGAAAGCTAGAAAGTAATGTATTGAAAGAGCTTTGATTTTTCTTAGAAAAGATTTATTGAAAATATTCATTTAACTGTATCCTGTTGTTGTTGGAATTCAATAAAATCCTGTCGATAGTTTGTGATATTTCATTGAAACTAACGATTCGATTAGATAGCCAAGTCGTTGCTAATCATGTTTGAAATCGTTAAGTCCTTGGAATCTGTGAAAAGTAATATTTTGTTAGAAGAGGATTTTCAAGTTGAACGAACGCAAGCATAGCTCGTACCTACTACGGCCACGCTCTCATCCGCGTGCCCAGGTGCTATTCGTATGGGTTAAGGCCGGGTGAACGCGATGAATAGATCTTAGGTTTCTAATCTGATTTAGTGGTTGCCAAAGCATTGCTGCTTCGAGCGGGACGTATTACTAAAAGTTATTCGCGTGTAAATCTATACGTGGAATTTACGTTACCTTGTTCGAGATTGAAATGATAAATTTTGTCAAGAAATAGGTAAAGAAAGAGTGAAAAATGTTCACGTTATTAGATATAAACTAAATGTGACCTCTTTGGTACTTAAGTAACATAACATTTAAAAAAACTTAACAGAGAAAAGTAAAGAAACATGACTGTTTTTCTAATGAAACTCTTTCGTCATCTTTAACGACATCAGAAGTAAAGAATCCTAACTCGTTGCGCTATGTCAAGAATCGCAACTTGAAGTTTCGAATTAATGAATAACGGTGTGACGTACGCGTTCATGCTACTTATAAACTACGGATAACTTTTTCTAGACAAAGGATGACTTCTTCTCTGTATAAAAAAAAAAAGAAAAAGAAAAAACAAATATAAAATAGAGGTAGTATCGGTATTTCGTTAGAAACAAAAAGAAAAAAAAAAAGAAAAAAGAAGAAAATAAAAAAAAGTAAAAACGTCCCGCTAGATTGGAGCTAAGGTAAAATTCCGAGTCACCGTGACGGACCTGTCCTTATTATGGCGAAAGCCTCTTGAAACAAAGCACGAGTCAAGAGGAATTAAACCTATCATCTTCCTGTTCGGCTTAACGATAGGCCGTCGATGATACGATTATGGTGAGATGCGAGGATGTAGGGATGCCGACGAGAGTAATGATTGAAAATAACAGGAATCACGTATAAACGTTCCATCGTGGCTCCGTAGCCAGTGTTCCGAGCGTATTGCGAAAGGGATCGTCGGAAACGATCGCGTACCTAAGGAAAAAGGCATCCTATGATCAGCACGAAGATGAACATTATGGTAATGACCTTATTTAAGTTAAGATTATAGAATTATAACGCCGTTAAGATAAATCATTCGTCCTGTTTTCGTTTCTAGCATCGATATACGTCCTTACTTTGATATTAATCGCGTACGTCCGGTAGCGTCAAAGTTCAAATGAAATTTTTAACACAAAATTTTAAATTTATTGATAATACAAAGAAAAAAAAAACGAGCGGCGATTTTTTAAAACACATAAGTAAAGTTATTAATCTCGTTTCTATTCAATTGACCACATCTATACAAAAATTCGGACAATTAAGTTCAATTTAAAATACAATGGTGAAATTTGACAAAAGGTAACCGAATATTTTCGACAATTCACTTTATTATTCGTAGGAACGAATTTTGATCGCTTTTTTCTTTTTTTTTTTTTAAACAAAGAACTCGGCTGTATCTCAATATTGTTCTATCGGAAAGCTAAATAAAGTTCATGCTGGTAGACTAAATGGTGCGTTCAAAATCGGACGAAGATAAATACTGCGGTTCGTTTGCCAGGTATCGTTTGTCGTCGGTTTTTCGATCGGTCATTCGTTCTTTCGTTTGTTCGTTCTTTCGTTCGTTCGGTTGGTTGGTTGGTTGGTTGGTTGGTTGGTTGGTTGGTCGTGGGCTCACGCGCACACAACATACTCTAACTCACGGTCGTTAGGCTTATATAAAGCAAGCGTTTGCCTGATGAATGAACTCCGATCTTGACGGGGAGCCCTCTTCTATGCGATCGTGTAAAAGCACCCGAGAGAGGCACCCAAAGGCTTTCCGCGGTCGTTATGGGTATTTGTACAACACAATTTATCTCCTCCCGAGGCCAGGACGCGCCGTACAAAAGCCGTGCGACCGTGCCGTGAACTCGAGTCGTGGCATGGATCCGCCGTAATAATCGATTACCGCCAGTGAAAGGAAGAGAAATCATCGGGTTCGAATCGGAGGGTCGGGGGGTACAGGGAAGAGAGACCAATTCGCACGCAAGCTTTTTACATTCAACGAATCTTACTAAATAAATAAAATGCTTTCGAGATAAACGAATAATAACCGTTCTTATTTAATTTTATATTTGAGTTTTTCTTTTTTACTTATGTTAGTGAAATTGCTCGTTGACGTTTTCAAAGGTTTTTATTTATTAGCAAGTATCTACTACAAGAACGAATTATAGGTATGACAATTATATTTTTATGATTTTAATGTATGATCTTCTTTAAAAACGAAGGAAAATATTCAAGGTGACCAAAATGATCGTCTGGCTGTGTAGATCACTGATTTTGGAAGATCCTGTAACATTGCTTCAGAATATAAGGGGTACTTTGTAAGGACTGAAGTATCTTGGTTAACTTCGTAGGTTTGAACACAAACAATGTCGTACGATGATGTTGAACACGAATGTTCGTGTAAGAGTTTGTGAGGTCGGTAATAGATTCACACATACTGTCACATTTGGTAATAGCAAGCAACCACATCTATGCAAACGGTGTCTGCAGAAACGGCATACTGCGGTTTTTCCTCGCTCATTATTCTTCCATTTAATCTGATCGATCTCAACTCGCTTAGAATATCACTTATTTCTTGTTTATGTTACATAAACGCTTGTCGATTATTTTCAGATTTGGATTGTAATTGACGTAATTGTCAATTCTGTTTTTTCTTATATAGGATGAAACATTAAATCTTTGAAAAACTATAATGAATTTTAACACTCAACTTACCGACACATTACTTGTTTATTTTTAACAATTGAACGCAAATAATAGTCAATTTGTTCAGCTCTGGTTTATATAATAAAATAATATGTAAAATTATACCGTGTCGTAATGTAAAACGAAGGAAATGGATAACATTGTATGCAAGAGATTAAATTAAAAATTATTATTCGACTTGTCATCGTATATTAAGCGTTAATTTGATAGAAAAACAAGTTAAAATGCTATATAATATTTCACAAGAGCATCGAATATATAAAATGTCTGATCTTTACGACCTCTTTGATAGTATTGAACAAGTGTATTAGAAGGTATTAAGTAGAGAATCTTATAATTAGTTACCAAGTCAATGCTCTTTGTTTTTTTAATAGTACAAATTTAACAAGAGAAAAATGTAAAGTTTCATTGACCGAAATTGTATCTTTTAATGCATCCTCATAAAACGTGTCTGCCATAAAGAATAGTAATATAACGAAAGAATAATTGTCTTGAGCAAACAAACTCAAGAAAAGTTTACTATTCCGAGTGATCAAGATAAATGATTTACCCAGAGTAAAGGAACGTCTACTACGATAACGAAACGTCTTGTAAGAACGGTTATTATGAAGAAGAACAATGTCATTTCGTTCTAACGTTATTCATTTTAAGATCAGGCGCGGGTTTATTATTCATTGGGATAGATCATCGAAATTTGCGAATTCTCGGAATTTCGTTCGTTTCGTCAAAAGGAAACAGAGGGGGGTGGGGAGGGATGGAACGAGAGAGACGATAAACGGAAGACGAAAACGAGTCGTAATTTAATGGCCGACGGAAAGAAGAACGATAAAAGCCGGAAACAGATGCAGAAGAGGAGGGCATGTCGGCATTGGACGCTGTTGGGTTACGAGGGGTGATCTCGCTTGCCCTTCGAGTGATTTATGAACAGACGCAGTGACTCCATCTACTTGACCCGTTCACCTCGTTACAAAGGATAATGTATTCGTGAGAGGCCAACCTCGGCCAGCAGCCACCATACCACGGTTCTTCCGCATGGTGTCTTCCTTTCCTCTCTATGAAAGTAAACCTAACCGAACCGAACCGAACCGAACCAAGCCGAACCGATTCCAAATCGGAATATAACAGGGAGAAATAATATAATGCGATGCTAGATTCGTATCACTAAACGATCAATTTTATTTTATTTTATTTTCTTTTCTTTTTTTCTTTTTTTGTTGTTGTTTTCTTCGATATGTTCCACGAAATTCGCGTCTTTTCGCTTATCTGCGTGGTTAATATATTATTCGTATTTCGCATCGATAAGTTAACGCTATTTTATATATCGATTTACGTTGTTTTAATATTTATGAGAATCGTCCTATCAAATGTTTAATCCGTTTTAATCTTTATACGATTCTTATTTTCTTTTTTTTTTTTTTTTTTGTGTCTACCGTATGCGTGTGCTTGAGCATGTGCGTGCGCTTCTTAATGTATATACTATCTTATATAACTTGTTATTATTCCCGGTAGATAGGTTCACGATTTACTACCATTTACTAAGGCACGAAAGAGACATTTTTAAGATTATATTTCAATTTTGTAATAAAAGTTTTCGAGATAACGGCAGCGTCAAAACGAACGAACGAACGAACGAACCGAAGGAACGAACGATCGTTACAAAGGCGCCCATTGTGAGTCCCGTCAGCTGCATCAATCCTAATCCTTGACGTATCTTCGATTCCATGCTTTTACGAGCGAGTTGTAAAGCGTAGTAACGTTTCAAGTCATTCGGTATGTTTTCAGAATTTATCATAGTCATCTCGAAGGAACGATTTTTTTTTTTTTTAATAAAGAATCGTATTACGATATTTGAAAATGCTACTAATTCAAAAATGGTTACTTCCAAATTTTACAATAAAATCCTCGGGGAAATTTGAGGAAGGTAACAAAAAAAAACTACAACTTATACTTTTTCTCTCTCTCTCAATAGGTTTCTCGTATTTCGATTTTAAAAAGTTATCAATGTGAGATCAAATAACATAGAACAACGATAACTTGAAAAATACAAAAATCCCACCACATCGATCGAAGATACAAGAGTCTAGGCGATAAAATCTCGACATTTACAGTGTTTGCAATTCGTTCTTTTTTTTTTTTTTCTTTTTTATAATTTTATCATACTAGAATAATATATATATAAATCTATTTACAGACAATATTTCTCTAACATTCGGTCTTCGCTTCTTTCTTTAATTTAATAGAATATCGAAAGACGCAAGTTAAAAGGCGTCACGCGATACATACTAAAACTTTGGTTACGCAAAAATAGATGCGGTACGATGTACATAAGTATAAACGTATATATATGTTACCATTATATTGTATAGTTCAGTTAAATCCGAAATAAGTAGATCATATATGAATTTACAAGATATTCGAATAGTTGAAGTATGAGATGAAAAATATTCTTCAATTTTATTTCAACGTGGTGTTAGGTACGTTTTCAAAGTCGATAAAACAGTACGACTGACAGAAAATCTGTTTTCAAAGGATAGAAAGAGATAAGAACGAATAACTACAAGCACTCATTGTTCGCGTTTATTTTATTTTATTTTCGTTTTCATAGTTTTCGAAGGAAATCTAGTTTAATTCCTTAAATCAATAAAGAAACCCTATTTCGAGATTAGATTATTTTCGTTTGGAAGGCCATAAAACGAAGAAATACATATTTTTTGTTTTCGGATTTACAACGGTGTAGTATAGGCAAGTATTGAAATGAAATTAAAGAATATCTTGCATTTCATACTTCAAAACTACTCGCCTCTTATAAATTTATATATTTAATTGAAATATGTACGGTAATTTCTGTCTTGTTTCACATTTCAACAGGTCGGTATAGTTATTTCAGAGTTTTGACGCTTAATTCACAAATTAACAGTAACATATATACGTACAGAGGATATTTCAGATTTAGTGATACAAGGGGAATGAAAACTACATGAAAAAATAAAGTGAACTTTTTTTTTTTGTACAAGGCTTCATTTCCGAATAAATCGATGTTGAAGATGATTTATCGGGTGATATACGCGTAATACGTGACTATATTGTAAATTACTGTTTTTTTTTATATGCTATTATTTATTAACATCACCAATTTTATATTTTGTTATATTCAACATACAATATTTATATCGGTGATATTTGTTAGATGTAGGCGTAAGTGAGGCCTGTATGGGGCAGATACCCTTTTCCGATTGTACCATCAAATCGAGAAGATCCTCGATATATATATATATTTATGTACATATACAATATACCCAGTGTTTCTATTCTTCTGAAAAAGATAGATGGACACAGAAATTTATGAATATTTCTTTGACATCGTCGTAAATCTTTTTAACTTTACGAAGAAACGCGTACAACGATAAAATGCGTATGAACAAATTTCTAGAAAAGATGGCGAAGGTACGCGTATATGCATGTGAGCAAAAAAGAGAAAGAGAGAGAGAGAGAGAGAAAGAGGAAAAGAGAGATAAATATACAAACGGGATAGAGAGAGAGAACGAGCAAGAAAAATACATACATTTGAAAATTTAATAGATATATATGAGGTAAAAAAGCGTACCCGTATTTTTGGGCTTTAATAGACAAAAATGTAATCTCCTCGAATCCTCTCTCTCTCTCTCTATTTCTCTCTCGCTCATCCTTGCAGAGAAAAAATCACAGTCGTGGGCTTTTTCAACAATGGCTGGGCGGCTCTGTTCCTCTTGTTCTTCTTATTGATGAAGTCCAGATGCTGCCCCGAGCCTTGGTGCAGCGTAAAACGAGTACGGCGAGAAGTAATGATGCGGGTGTGGGTGAGGTGGGGGTGGTGGTAAGACGTGAGCGGGGTGGGTCGGAGGTAGAGGGAAAGCAAAAGACGAAAGGGAATGAGGTAACATAGGTGGTGCGGGTTTACTGTACGGATGATAACGCGCTGTGGCGAGTGGACTGAGCGGAGGTGTAGGATAGGTTCTTGAAAAAAAAGGGTGGGTGGATGGCAGGGCCAAGGAATGCGGGGGAGGTGGCGGTAACGGAGGCGAGAGCATCGAAAGTGCCGTTGCAGTGGCCACGGCAGCGGCTGTAGCGCTGGAAGGGTCCGTGCTGTTAACGGAACTCGGAACGGAAGCGTTCGTGTGACTTCTGAGGTGTTGAAGGAGCTCCTCCGAGGTGGCGAAACGTTTGCCACAGTAGACGGTGTCACTGGCCATCCAATTGCAGACATATGGAAGCTGGGAGGCTGCAGCGAGGGCACTCAATTGCGCGTGGGCGTATGCAGCTGCAGCTACGCTAGCTGCGGCAGCCGTTGACATTCCTGAGCCGTAAGGCGACCCGGATCCAGATTTATGATCGCACTGGACGCAACCAGACGGGCAAGAAGACGTAGAGGAAGAAGTAACTGTCGAGGGAGGTAGAACCGTAGGACTCGTTGAGAGTTTAGCTTGCGAAGAAACACTCGTGCCGGTGGTTGTCGCCGCAGCTGCCGCTGCCGCCACCGCGGCAGCCAATAAGTGAGAGTTCAATTGACACCCGGTGCAATAGGGATCCCGACAGAGACCTATGGACGATGATGCGTCGGTTCCGCTGCTAGGCGATGGTTTCAAACGGCTGCTGTAAGCCAAATAGGGACTCGTCGGGCTACCGATAAGTCCACTTTTAAGCGCGTGCTGATGCGGTGACAATAGCGAGCTACCAGCCGACATAACGTCTATTGGCAATTGCGAACCACCATAGGCTAAATGATAAGCTGAACTTGTCGAAGGAGGTAGACCGATTTTGAAGGTACCGAGCGGTAGATCCTTTATCGATGGATCTGTCATGGCCAATACTCCGGCAGGACTATAAGAATTTGGCCTAATCGTAGGACTACCATGATGAGTTCCTCGAACGGAGGAACTCGTTGAGATTCCGTCGCTTGGACTCGGTTCGCTTAGGTATACTGCACCTTCCGGTGTAGTCGTTTTTCTTCCCTGCGGAGTCGCTGCTCGGGCCGAGGAAGCACTCTGATTGCTCGAACATCTTTTGTTATTATTATTTCCTGGTGTTCTCGAACGAGCGGACGTTGAATGACTGGATGCCGATCGTTGTTGATCTTCTGGACTGGACGTTTTTTCGCGACCAAAAGATTCGTGAGAATTTTTGGAATTCGATCTGCTAATAACGTCGCTCGTAGGTGTTCTTCTCGATGGTGAACTTCCCTCGCGGGAATGATCTCGATTAGATTTAGACGATTTCGAAGTTTTGTCCGAACTATTCAACAGGGATCTGCTTGACGGTGGATCCGCTCCGATTTGACTACAAGTCTGCGCGAGAAGAGCGAGAGGACTTTTCTTTGCATCCAGCTAAAATATAAAGAAAACAATTAACGTTATATTTTTTCATCGTCAAATTTAACTTTAGTCTATGAAAATTAAATGCGTCAATATTCGTATAAATATAATTTATCGTAAATTTGCGGACACATATCATATAGATTTAGGCCAAATATAAATAACGCTATTTAATTGGGAAGCGTCGTAAAGTCGCGACTAGAGTATATTAAAAATGAAATATTACGGTATCTACGAATACGTATAGATTTAATGCGAAATAGAAAACGAACGAGTTGGTCGCGTGTTCGTGATTTGTTTACGTTAAAGCGTTTGGCCAAGGGCGATCGATCCATCGCGATGTGCATCGTTGCAACCACCGACGAAACCACCACCGTAAAACGTTGCTTTCGGCATTGCTGCTGCTGCTGCTGCTGTTGTTCTCTCAAATCATTCTTCAACGTTTTCTTTATTTTCATTCGACGTGTTTTCAAAAGCTCGCCAAATTGTCGACTTTTATTGGTCGGTTGTTTAAAACCCCGGACGCATTATTTTTGATTTATCGTGAAATCGAAAGTATCGTTCCGCGATAGACAATTCTACAATGACGTTGCTAACAAAGAGAATTATTATTATTTTATTTTTCTTCAAAACTCTCTTAGCCGTTCCGTTCGATCATTGTCTGGGAGCAACAACGGGTCATTAATCTCACAGAGGATGGAAACTTTGACGGACGCTCATAAAGATCTTTACACTGTTGTCCAGCTTCTTCATTAATTTATTATTCGCTAAGCAAAGGTTTCTCTTTCTCATACCTTTGTAACCTTCTCCCTCCCTTTCGTATCCCTACCATCGATTCCTTTGAAAATCGCATTTCACTAGGAACTACTACTGTGACGTGGCCCCGTCTTTACGAGAAACGTTTTTCATTCTTGTCACGGACCGTACGCGATCAGTCACGCGTTCCGGACGGTGCTATGGGGAGGAGGGTGGTGGTTGGCGGGGAGAAAACGAGGAAAGGCTAGCGAGAAGGATTTATGTCCGTCATCGTGACGGATAGAAAAGGGAGAAATAGAAAAACGGGGTTTTACTGCAAGAGACATATCGATATGCTTTTGCTTCTCTTTTCGAAAGAAGAAGAGGAAGGTTTTACTCTCAGGTGAGAGACGTGGGGGGGGGGAAGGAGGAGGAGAAGGAGGCTAAGAAAAGAGTGATCTTCTCGACAGAAGATCGATCCATTTATATGATGCCGTCGCGATCGACACTAGCGATATACGTTCGATGTTTCTCTTCAACGTAGATAGGATAAAATGAAATCAAATAAAAAGGATCCTCTTTATGGCAGAATGAAAAATTGTTCGTTAATAGAACAAACCATTAACGGAAAAAAAAAACTTCGCGATCTTTACCGTCTTACTAATTGTAATTAAACTAGTCATTAATATTAACTCATTGAACTGTTGTCTCAACACTAAAAGTAATAATACAGATTACATATAAGACTCGTATACGTTATGTCACAACACAAGTGTCACAACAAGTGATAATATGAATAATATTATAATCCAAATGCATCCAATAATAATGAAAATAATTGGTTACGAGAAAGAAGCGCACAAGAAAATTGATAAAAGATCGAATAAATTTGATCGTTCATTCCTTGTTAAATACTTTCTTAATTAAATCGTTACGCGAGAGCCGCGTTATCAAATTTCTATGAGAAATTAATTATATTTCTTTGGAATACCCTTTTTAAATTTAACCGTAAGATCATTTTAGGTTTTTCGTATAGAAATGTTGGTTGGAGGGTGTGTATGCGTGTGTGTGATATTTTTGTTGGTGATAAAAGCAAGGGCACGTATATACAAGGCATAGTAGTAGTAGTATCGATGTGCAAGAGCCCAATGTACACGGCGGATGTACCGCCTCTCATAGGCGTAATTAAAATGCAACGTCCGTTGTAAAGCCGAGGTGCGGCAACGTGCACTACGGTGTGGCACGTCGAGAGAGAGAGAGAGAGAGAGAGAGATAGAGATAGAGATAGACGAGGTGTGCGTGAGTTTGCTCGTGCTAATGGTGCAACGCGCATTCGTTGTGTTGGTGGGTTGGTTGGTTGTATCGGTGCTACCGTGAATTGCCGAAGAGCCAAGCTATTTACGACTACGACGATGACGACGACGAGCAAGTAGAAGACCATCATCTATTAATCACGTTCGTGTAACTTAACGGTTTCGGTTTTTAAAACATTTATATTTTATTATCTTCTTATTAACTTATTTTTAATTATGAGACGAGAGTTAGATATAAATAACTAACACTGACAACAAAATTATCGACCTGTTTATATTTATATCATTGTCATTTTCCAACCGATGGATTCAACAACAATTGTATTTTTTAAAATATCGTTGCATCACGAACTACGCATAATTCGTTCGAGTGAACGAGTATAGTTATTATGAAATGCGATCGTTGAAAGTAAACCTGATTTATTATTTTTCATTATAATGACTAATACTTCTTGTTTGTTCTTTTTTTTTTTCTTTTCTAACACAATTTTTAATATTATAACAATGATCGTTAGTTTTTTATAGTTTACGTTTTTCACGATCGTTTTGAATGTTCGACAATGAAAGTTTTGCGATAATTTCAGTCGCGTAATTATAGTAATAATTTTTTTTTTTTTTTTTAATGGTTACAGATATTTATTTAAATTGAACGTATAATATAAAGTAATTGCCATGCAATACAACCTTGCAAATGGAAATTTTCCAATATTATTGAGAAAAAAAAATATTTTACGTTATATATTTATTAAACGTGAAAGTTTCCGCAGTGCTTTGTTCCTACGACTGGGTACGGTGCGAAAGCTTTAGTCAATCGGAACAATTGTTGACAACTACGAAACGGTCTTTTGATTTGAATGTTATTGTTTATTAGCGAATGCTCCGTGGTCACGCCATTGACAGCTGGACACAAAAGCGATATGTAAAAGAGAGAAAAGGGTGGTGAATAACGGGGACGGGGGTGAGAGGGAAAGAGAGAGAGAGAGAAAGGGAGAGAGAAATAAAAGATAAAAAGAGAGAATAACCGTGTGTACAATTTTAACGCGATTGATTTAAAAAACATATTTTTTAAATAATTCTCCTCTCCGCTTAGAGAGAGAGAAAACATTATAAAAATAAAAAATCATACACATTAGAACGCGATCGCAACCCCGTTTTTCCCCTATTAAAAATTAATGAAATAAGAAAAGAAAAAATGATATCTATACTAACCGTAGTTGGCAAAGGAGTTAGATAATCCGGACATAGATACTGATTAGTGTTAGAAGCCAGCATCTCTTAAAGAGCGCTCAAAAGCGCTGTATTTTGGTTACCCTCTCCTTCTTCCTCGTTGAAAAAAAACGATCGTTTTCAAAGTACAAATCCGAAATTACTTGAATCCGTTGAACGATTAGATGACGATCTATCGTTATATATGTATTCACTAAATCTAAGTACACCGTTAGTGCTCTTCTTCTTTCTTATCTTTTCACAAAAAACTTTGTTCGACGCACTTAAGGAAAGAAAAAGGGGTCCTCCTCCGGGAGGTCCCTTAACGAGGGTTTTATGGACGAAAAAGTCAGATATGTGTGCGACGACGAGCGACATCGAATCTAACGAAAGGATAAGGTAAGAAACCCAGCCGAATTAGAACGACGACGACGATGATGATGATGATGATAATAATTTTGTTACGCGCACGCACGTCCTTTTAGTTCGAAGGTTTCAGCGTCGACTGAAGCGCTCGCGCGCTTCCAACTCTCCGTTTCAACCCCCCACCTTTCTGTTTCTCATCCAACACAACCCTACTATCCCCACCACCTTTGGTTATTCTCTTTCTCTGTTCCTCTTGCTCGTCAACCAAATCCCCTAGGATCATCGTGGTGGCATGAACGTGCGAAAGGACGAACCAACGAACCAACCAACCAACCAACCAACCTACCAACCGGCCAGGCTCACGTCGGAATGATCGGAACCGACGGGTTGCGAGACGAGATGCGAGACGAGATGCGAGAATGTGACGTGTGACTTTGACCGACGTAACGTTTTCACCAAATACACCGGATCCTACCATCGCCACTACCCTTTTTACACATTTTTACAGATTTTTATATAGTAAGTAGAAATTATTATATAATATAACGATTTTATGTATATTTTGTTTTATTATTTTATATTATTTTACTGGTTCCTTATACCCGATCCGTCGGATATTCGAAAAGATACCTGGGTAAGAAGAAAATACAAGATTCTTTCAATGTTTTTGGAGTATTTGTATTATCTATACGTTTAACGATGTAAATATATCTTGATTGAGAGAAGTACGCATAGTCTTTTTAACGACGAAGTGATCTGTGAAAGATTGCAGGTAATATTATATCAATGAGTGCGATATAAACTTTTGTATTTATGTTGGGTTATAAACTAATGTGTAGTTCTCATTTACTTGGATATTTTACCTGACTTCTCAGATACCTGCTGAGCCGGATAGAACTTTTCTATACCTTGTGATAGTTTGAATTATTAATGGTACATATATCATTTATTTTCTATTTCAAATGTAATTAATCTAATAACATATAAAAATTTGTTTTGTCATCTTTAAAAGAATATATATTTCAATGGTTATGAAAACATTTATAAAAATACGTCCTGGATATGAAAGAATAAGTGTAAAGGTTTCTTAAATTTTATTGCCTGTCATAAAAAGGATGACGAAAAAGAAAATACGAGTGGATAGATAAACTCGCTATATTAATCATTTATAATCCAATACCGGGAGTAATGTCTATTTTTATAATTTTATTTGAAGGTAATATAAAAAGAAAGAAAAACAAAAAGAAAGTATTACAAGTACGATCATTCTTTTCAGTTTAGTTTTAAAAGGACCGTGCAATTAAAAGGTCATTGATAATTAATTAATATATGATAATCAATTAAAGACACGGTTCGTGGGTTTTCCAATATCGTTCGATAGCTTATAACAAGTTCTATAATTCTTAATTTATTTGATTATAAAGTTATATCGGAGAAACCTTAATGATTTTTTTTAAGATTTTAAAAACATATCTTATTGTTTAAATGAGTTATTGGGGGAGTGTGGGAGTGGGGAAAAGGGATACGAATCACGGAAGATTTTTTCTGATCGATCGATAAACTTAAACGTAAGAAAGTGGTTTTCTATCTTGTAGATAGGTCAGAACCAATCTGGTATAACCGTTTCGAAACGTTTTCTTCGATAAAAAGATAGACCTTGTCTCGGATGACTAAAAAACTTACCTAGAAAACGAGTGTTTTGCCGGATATATAAAAAGGTGGGGTATGGGGGAGAGGGGTGGTGGCCTTTCGGAGAGCGTTAAATATCAGAGAAGAGAACCATTTCGGTTATCCGTTAAGGTGAATGTGAGTAATTAAGTGGTATAACTTATAAGCTTGCTTGGCCGCTGTCGAGACGCTGTCGGATTTTATGGCTTTATGGCGACTACAAGATGTAATTACTCTTTATGACCTTATTTCTGGCGTGATCTCTTTGAGCTTACCGCCTCTGTCGATGAAATAAAAAAACAGAAAGAAAAAAGAAATCCTTAAGCTACATATCCGAATAACCGAAGTGTGCTGCTGAACACCGTGCGTTTCCATTCTACTGGAATGTTCGATATTTTGCAAGTATCTCAGAAATATTTATTGTACGTTCCATTTGGACACCTTCATCGTTTAGATTATTATCAAGAACATTTCTTTTCTATTACGGTTCCATTAAATCTTATTCACGCACTATAAGAACGACTCTACCTTAGTGTATTAAACTTATCTCTGTTTGCTTGTTTAACAAGCTGTCATTAATAATTTGATTTTATGTTGATTTTATGCTTGACATAATTTCTTCGGTCCGGATTAAGCAAATAAATATTTGTAATATAATTTTCCGATCATTGTAAGACACGTGAGATTTATATAGCATAATGATTTACTTAAATTATACTCCTTAAGGAAAAAAAAATGTATAATCTTATCAAGTTTCCATAATTTCATTTATTTCAATGATATTCGAAATATCCAATAAGCACTTTTTACATTATTCAATAAAATGAACAAAAAAAAACGAATATCGCGCGATTAAGAAATCATAATCCTCCTTAAGAGTCGTATCGAGCTTTTACATAAATAAATTTGCATTCAGCAAAAGAACTTCTATGGTCTTTTAGCAGAAGAGAGAAAAAGAGAAAAACAAGAAAAATAAAGGGAACGCTTAAAGACCAAAAGCTTTAAAGCTTTTTCTCGAAAGCGGGGTTGTTATACTCGACTTAACGCGATTTTAATAATCACAGCAAGTGAAGAGAAGAGAAGTCGCGCTTTACGATGTGAGAAAGAGAAAGAAAACGGAGCTTTTTCGGTCGTGAGAAAGGAACGATCTCTTTCTCTTTTCTTAGCTCCTCTAGCAGGCTATTTCTATCTTATCTTTTTCCTGTTGAACACGTTGGACTCGACCAAAGTGGCCGTTAGATACGAGCAGTTTCCACGGAAAAGCATTAGCGGCGTTATTAGCGCTAGTTAGAAGATACGCTTTGGTGAGCGACGAGAACGCTGTATAATTATCCGACCCTCCCTTTCTTCTCTTTCTCATTCTCTCTCTCTCTTTCTCATTCTCCCTATTTGAAATCGAAGAGAAGACAGGGACGACGTGTTTATGCGGCGCCGACCGAGACCCTGAGTAAAAGTATACCGAAACGAAGAAGAAGTATTTGTGACTCGACGAGCCAACTTTTGCTTTGCTTTTGTACCTTGCCTCTGTTACTTGCTTATGTCAGTTTCTCTAAAGCTATGACGATGACGTACGTATACTAACGATTGATTTAATAAACCTGTGCTACCCAATTCTATACTTCACTTGCACCTGCTTCCTTTCTCCTCTTCTCCTTCTTTCTTCTTTCCTTTTCTTTACCCATCGATGAATCACTAAACGATAAATTACTATCGGACGTTCTCGAAGAAAGCAATGGGGTTATCCGAACATCCTCGTAAAGAAACCGCACGATGGAGTTAGTTTATTACCATTACTAATGGGGGGGGGGGAATGGGGAGATATAACGGATGTATCTTGAAAGTTCGATTGTTATTTAGATTTATTTTTGAAAATATATGGACTCGTATCTTTAGGATAAGAATATTAATGGTAAGATTATTTTTTCTTGTGTAATGTCACCAAGGGAATGGTTTTGGTATTATAAAACAAAGATATCGTTAACACTATGCACTATATAAGTATATTTATCGTGTTAACGAATAAAAATATATGCTATTACCAAATTAAAAGTGGTACTGGGGCTATACTGAAACAAAAACAATGTATTACTTAATATAATACATAGATGTCACTAGGTGGATGTTCCGAAAATGTTTAATCCCTTTAATAATTATTTTTACTTAAAAACTTAAGCTTTAAATTTTATCGAAGTTAATCATTCAATTAAATTAAACAATGATAGAGTTAATATACAGTGTTAATGTTTCGAAAATATATATCCACGTTTATGATATATTCGTGAATTATTGAAAAATCGTTTTATGAAATCTTCGCGTTGGAAAATATATAGAATATTCAGTTTATCAATAATTAAACGCGAATCTGCAAGTTTAAACGCAAAACTCTTGGTCGAAAACATAAATGGCAAAGCGAAATAAAGTATTCCGTTGGGTTCATCACAATTTCACAATACGTCGCGAAGTGTACGCAAAAGCTTTATAAATATAATCGGCGAATGCGACAGATCTTGTTATTGAGGTCGATCGTCTCGCGTTTTTCGTAAGAGACATTCAAACGAATAACGTTTGTAAAATTTATGTTTCCGGCCATTACTCGCAGTATTGTAACGTATATATACATATTTATATTCGAGCTTTTACACAGAGGGAGAGAGAGATATATATATATATATTTGAAAGTGTTCAGATGTTACTATACTATTCGTCGTAGATTCATGAAACTTAGCCCACACGCGTAGGCGTAGAAAGTAATCCGAACTTTGTTCGGCTTTAAATTCATGATCGTTTTATCTCACACAATAACGATCCGTATTATAAAATGAAACTTTTACCCGGAGTAAAAGTTAGCAACGCATGTCGCTGTTCACCGTCGTCGTCGTAGTCGTCGTCGTCGTCGTCGTCGTCGTATCGAGGTCGAGTGGTTTATGAAGCATCCTCTATATACATAACATATGCAGTTGTGTGCAAATCGATTAAACGTTATGGCACTCTCGCAGTTACAGACCGAAAGCAGAATGATTTATAGGAATATATATGTATGTATGTATATATAAGCCAAAGCGGGAGCAAAGAATTATAGACCGGAACAAAACGCACGATAGACGATGCGGGGAGATCGTTCTCTGATGTTTTACCGGTTCCTTTAACTACGAAAGATAAACCGTGTGAATGAAAACATTGAATATGGGGGAACGTTAATTAAGCGAATATGAAAATTTTTATTTCAATAAGAAAAATATTATATTAGTTTTACGAGGAAAAAATATTAATCAAAATTGATCGATGTCTATACCAATGGCGAATAATAATTGTTTTCGTAATTGACGGTACCAGGGTAATCATCATTTCTGACATCGTCTCGGGGTTCCATAATTCATTCGTAAATCTTTATTACTAGCACTACTGGGTCGTGTTTTCTAATTTATTATTCTCTAAAGTTGATTGCCGTCTGAACAACAGGACAAACGTGATCGTTAGAGCAACGCGTTTAAAGCTTCTAACGATAGCTGAGAAGAGTTCGCGCGAACGTTATCGTTATCGGCTTTAGGTAATAACGATTCGTGCCTGGTGCTATAACGCGTTAGCGTATACGATTTATACCTTTCTCTCACGCGGCCTTACTTTTCGTAATTTCCTTCTAAAGAATAGTACATCGTAGTCGTAGTCGTAGTCGTCGTCGTCGTTTGTAAAGAGTTTACTCGCGAACACACCTTCTACATTTATTTACATTAAAATAATGCTCACCTAGAAAATCGTGGCAATCTAGATAAACTCTGTCGCAGTTTTTAACCTCGATTCCTAAATCCTCTAGTTTCTATAT